CCACATCCTGGGAGGAGGTTGGCTGCCAATCTCTTTACACGGCAGAGCGGAGGCATTTGCATTGAAGCCCAGAGACGGCCAAATCTGACACGGTTTCCAGAGAAGGAGCATGGCCAGGCAGAGCCGTGGAATGGGGGACGGGGGCAGCACCTCCACCCCCTCCATGCAGATAAGCAGAATATCTAAGCCCCCCTCCCCCCATTTTTGCCTCCAGCCCTTGGGTGACACTCCGGGCCAAGCCCTTCACTCTGTTGCCTCCTGTTTGCAGGACCGTCTGAGCCCCCCCCTCCCCCCCCCCGGCTCTTGGTTGGCTTGAGCTTCCCAACAGGCAGGCAGTTACGATGTGGTAGCAGCTTTTGCCTCCATAGCGCCAGCTAGCGGGCGGCTTCTCCAAGGCATGGTTGGCAACTGCAAGGCAGCCTGAAGGCAGCCCCAGTTTGGCCCAGCAACGAGAGGCTCAGGAGGGTTTCAGTTCCTTCCCTGAGAAAAAGGTGGCGGCAGCAGCATGGCTGATTTCACTGTTTCTGACCGGCCGTTTTGCTGGAAAAATCCCCGTCCTGGTTGCTGGGTCTCAGCGCTTCCGTCCCACAAACCCCGAGGGTTAATGGGGCTCCCAGGAGCCCTGAAGGAGAGATCCCTCCCAGCCAGGAACGTTGCTACCTTCCCTCAGCCCATGCCTGGAAGGAAAGGGGAGGGAGGCCGGGAGGGGCCAGCCGACCCCCTCCTCCTCAGGCCTTGGGGGTTCCTCCTGGGCCTTCCACCGGAAGCCAGCGGCCTCCTTGCAGATGCAAAAGTGTTGCCCAGGCTCAGTCCGGATGCCTGTCGCGGCCCATGTCCAGGAGGACTGGCGCTTGCTTCCTCGGGTGTCTTGGTTTCTCCTGGGCCAGGCAGGCCCTGGTCATCCAGAGAGGGTCAGCCTCAGCAGAGCGGGGGGGGGGGGGCAATCGGAGCACCAGCCAAATCTGACCAGGCTACCCTGGGCGAGCCATGCCACAAGTGTCGTCCTTGAGCTCCCTGGCGGCATTATTCTGGAGCAGTTCAGAAGAAGGGCTACCCCAAGAGGCCCCCAGCCTCAACAGCTTTCATCCCCAGAGAGCCTCCCCTCTTGCAAGGCCGGCTCTCAGCCAGGGGAGCAGCTTTCCAGACTGCGCCTGTAGACGGGTTACTATTTCTCAGCTTTATGGCTTTGGGTCTCTTCCATGCACTTGTTCAGGACTAATGGTTTGGATGGGCCTTCCGGTGGGCTTCAGGAGAGGCCCTGGGTTTTCCTTGCCAGATTTCCATCCACTGGACAAACGTTCCTCCTCCTCCCCCCTTTCTCCAGGTAGCCTCTGCAGCCCTGCATGATGGGCTTCTACCTGTGCATTCAGGTGATTTTCAGCCAGGTGGGAGGTGGTGATGCCAAGGTGAGAGCCTTTCTGGTTGCCCAGGGAGGAGGAACCTGGTGGTCCCTCCAGAGGCAAGAGGCTCCCCACCTCCATCGTGGGTGTTGCTATTTCCACAGAGTCCAAGCAAGGCTGCCCTCCCAGAGCAGAGGCGGGGCGTCCGGGTAGCCGTGCAGCAGCTGCAGCAGGAGAAGGGTGGCCTGAGCTGGACGCACGGACAGCCTCAGGCCCTGGAGATGCTGTTCCAGGAGTGCCAGGCTCTCCAGGCCCAGGTGAGCTTCAGAACTCCCTTCTACTTCTCCCAGAAGCCAGGGAGGCACCACCTTATATTCCCTGCCCCTGTCTACTCCACAGCTCCGACAGTCTAAGGCATTGACCCAGGAGCCAGAAAGGGAGGACGCTCTTCAAGCTGAGCGGCACCCGTGGGAGCAGTTGAGGCAAGCAGCGGCTTCTGTCCATATGCTGGAAAACAGCCGGGATCTCTATAAGAAGAAGTACCGAGCGGCTCTGGGCCGAGTTGGTGAGCTAGAGAGCCAGGTGCTTCGTCTGCAAGAAGAGGTGGTCAATCTTTGGAGCAGCGGCCAAGCAGCGGGCAGCCTTGGGCAGCTGAGTGCTCGGGAGATGGGCTGGGCGATGCAGCTCACAGGCCAGCAAGAGCAGACCATCCGGGAGCTGCAGGGACAGTTGGCAGCCAGCCACAGGAAGGTGAGAGTGGCCAGAGCCCTTTTCCCTTTTCCGGGGGCACCGGGGGGGCGGGGGCGGACACTGGTGTGAACCGCAGCAGATGCCAAGCTTCAGGTCTGTGGTGAGAAAAGGATTTAAATCCTGGCTTTGACACAGAAATCTTGGTGGTGCTTGCGCTGTGTGCCACGAGAGCCTGGTCGTCGGTGAGTTCCCGTGAGTGTCTTATTTACACCACCCCCCGGCCTCGGCTGCTGAGGGCGCGGTGGGGTTTGCCTCGTCTGGTGGGGAGCGGACACACAGGCAATGGGCCGCTTGGGCCTCCTGGCTCTGTCTCAGTTGCTGCAGCAAAAGGAAGCCCTGGCCGCCCTGCGCCGAGAGTTTGCATCCTACAAGTCGACTCACAGCTGCTCCAACGCAAAGCACAGGAAACAGAGGCTCAGCCAGGCGATGCTCCGTCAGGTAGGTCCCGATCGTGCTGGCCGGCTGGAGTGAGCGGGGGGGGGGGGGGGGGCGGCTGGGCTGCCATAGCCTGAGCAGAAACCCGGCTCCCTTTGTCTCGGTTGGGCTTGCCCAGAAGCTCCAGCAGGCAGAAGAGGAGGGTTTGCAGCAGCAGGCGGAGGCCTACCAGGCCCTTGTGCAGGAACTGAAGCTGCAGCTGGCAAGGGAGGCCGAGCAGAACAGCAGCACCTTGAAAGGTAGAGGACCCGCCCCCCTCCGGTCCCCTCCGCCGGTCCCTCCTGCTGCAGCCAGGGGTCCCGGTTGACTGGGCCTCATTTCAGATCTGGCTCGCCTGGAACTGGCTGTGCAGAGCCTGTGCCAGGAGCCAGCGCCAGAGCAGAGTCGGCAGCTGCAGCACCACGCCTGCCCAGCGCAGGCCCTGCGGGAACAAAGCCACCCTGTGCTGGGTCCACAGAAGGAATGGGTGAGTGGCTGCTGATCTGCCCAGGAATACCTGTTGGGCTTTGTGGGGGTGCCCTGACACTCGCTCACCTCCCTCTTCTCCATGCCATCCAGGAACCAGACAAGCTCCTTCAAAGGGCTAATTGCAGCCTCTTCTGGGACCAGGCCCATCCCTTGAATGCTGCCTCACGGGAGGCCTCTTGGCCTGGTGGGGCTCCAGTGCTGCAGCCGAGGAGGCCCGAGTGCCCGGAACAGCCCAGGAGGGCGGGTAAGGAGGCTGGCTCGAGGCGTGTCGGGAAGGGTGGACCAGGCAAGGGCCAAGAGGGCCAGTTTGTGGGTTGCTCCTTCCCTTCCCCCATCTTTCTCCTTGCCTGCTCACCAGCCGATGGGCAGAAATCGTTCCATTCTTCCTTATGCAGAGATGCTTAGCCTGTTCTTCTAATGCCCCCCCCCCCCCCCCGGGTAAGTGGTCCTGAAGCATCGGTTGCCAACAGGGGCAGGAATGAGGCAAAGCTTCCCAGTTTCTTTTGGTGCAACACAGCAGACCCATAATGCTCACCCACCCAAGCATGCTGGGCTATGGGAGTCCAAGGGCCCGGGCCCCCGCACCCTTCCTACCCGAGCCTTCTCCTCCGCAGCACTGGAGGTGGCCCAGGACCAGGCGGTGGAGAGGGACCTGGAGCTTCAGCGCCTTGGGGATGTTGGCTGCCCGCTGGAGGTTCTCCTTGGAAGAGGCTGCCTAGCTGGAGCAGAGCTGGAGCAGGAAAGGTCTCTTCCCTGGGCTGAAGTAGGCCAGGCTGGGAGGGGACCTGCCTTTGGGCTGGGGGGTGACTCACTGCTTTCTTCTTAGCTTCTTGGGAGGAGCCTCTGGCAGAGAACGGCTGAAGGCGCTGAGGGAGAAGCTGAGCAGGTCCAAGCAGCCGCCTTTGCAGGCAGCATCCATGCAGGAGTTGGAGATGCTGCGGCAGCAGGTGACGGGACCATGCCCTCCCCCTGGAGAAGCAAGAGCCGTTTCTCTGTCCCGGAGGGCACCTGTGCCACGCTCCAGGGCCTCTGGGGAGCCACAGGGCTGGGCTGGGATTGAGGGCCACCTTTCCCTGCAGTTACAGGAGACCGAGAGGCGAGGGCGGGCCCTGCAGGCCTCCGTGGCGGAGCAGACGGCAGAGCGCCGTTCTCTGCGAGAGCAGCTGACCAAGCAGACGGCTGTTCTGTGGCTGCTGCAGGGACACTTCAGGCAGGCCCGGCTGCAGCTGAAGCACCAGGCAACCGCTGTGAGTGAGCCCAGAGGGCCGATGGCTGGGCAACCCCTGGGTCCTGACGGTAGGAGGAGCCTCAGTGGCAGCTCTGGCTTCTCCAGGGCTCCCACCCCACCCAGCCTCTCTTCCAAGGGGGAAGGAAGGGGGGGAGGGGTTCTGGGGGGGGGGCACGCTTTGCCTGCCCTTGTTTGGCAGGAGCAATGCTGGCAGAGAGGCCTGAGGCTGGGGAGGGGGCGAGTGGGGTGGGCCCGGCCGCCCCTTCAGTGCTGGGTGCTGCAGGGAGCCTCTGTCCTCCATGCAGAGACTCCGAGCTGCCTAGAAGCCATCCTGCTTATCTCCCCAGCACCAGCAGGTCCCAGCTGCCCTCTCCCCACAGCCCCACGGTTCCTTGCAGCCCAGACACCCTGCTCTTCCTCCCATGGACCGCCTGGCCCCAGGAGGGCAACCAGGGCCTGGGGAGGGAAATGAGCCCTCGGCCGGCCTGACTGGGAGATCTCCGAAAGGAGGCGACCCTTTGGAGGGAGCGCTCTGGATCCAGCTGGCAACCATCCCAGGGGTCTCTCTTCTTCTCCCGGCAGATAGAATCCTTACGAGTCTCCCTGGAGGCATCCCACGCCGGCCATCGCTGGCTGCACCAGGAGAGCGAACTGGTGGTGGCCGATCTTTGCCAGTGGGTGAAGGAGCAAAAGTGAGTGTTGCCCGGTCACCGCAGAGGAACGGGAGGCTTCTGCCGAGTTTGCCACGGGGCAAAAGGGAGGCGTGTCTTCCCATTTGCTCCCTCAGCTGCCTCCTTTTGTTACAGGCAGATGAATGAGGAGCTGGGCCGCAAGCTCCGAACGCAGATCAAGCAAATTGCCCAGCTGACCGGCGAGAGAGAGTGAGTGAGACCAAGCTGCTCTTTGAGGCTGGAGGCGGAGGGGAGCATTTGGAGGAGTCCTTCACCCACCCACCCACCCCCCCTTGGTGAAATCAGATGCCCCAGGTGCCTGCTTAATTTGGGATGGACTGAAGAACAGCTACGGGTACCTTTAAATTCCAGGCACCTTTCCTTTCAAAAGCCTGCCGTGAGCACGGGGGTTGGGGTTACTGAACCAAAGGGGTTCTCTGCACCCCTCTTCCTTCCCGCAGCCTTCTGCATCAACTATTAGAGAGGCTGCAAGAGGACAACCGGCGGCTGAAGAACGAAGTCAACGAGAAGCGCGTTGTATGTGAGCGCATCAAGGTGAATGCAAGAACCACCAGAGGCTGGCAGGAAAGCAGATGATGCAGCCCACCCCCCACTTCCTTCATTGGCCAAGCGGCAGAGGGGGATGGTATAGAGCAGGGGCCCCCCAACCCCCGGCCCACAGACCGAAACCAGTTTGCGGCTTGCTGGGAACTGGGCCAGGCAAATAGTGGGTGAGCACATAAAACCATCCCCTCCCCGCATGGCCGGCCCAGGTTGGGGTTGGGGTCCGCTGGCCTCAAGGAAGCCTCCTTGGACCTCCTGCTACAGAAGCCTCCTTATGGCCTCTGAGAGTAGTTTTGCTCTGGGAATGAGGAGAGCAGAGGAGCCTTAGAGGAGGATGGCGGCAGCCTTGGTCTCCCCCGTGGCCCGATTCCCTCCCGCTCCTCCAGAAAGGGAGAGAATTGGGTCTCCTGCCTGCATCTAGAAGAGGCAAGTGGGCCAGGATGGGTTTGGCCTGGTTCCACGAGTCCCAGTAAACATCGGGTGGTTCTAAATACAACGTTTCTGCTTGCAGGCTCTCCACAACAATGATTTGGAGCCACGGGCTGCACTGCAACAACTCTGGCACATACTCCTGTTGTGAACAAGTGGGCTGCTCCTATTCCCATTGCACTCCTCCACTTTTCCAGGGGCCCCAGCCAGAGAAGGCGGCTCAGGAGCAGAGGCAAACCGTGTGCAGAAGAGCTGGGGTCCCTTCCTGCAGCCCAGGCTTTGCTATCGAGGGAACTCGCCTAGGTGCCCCATCCGTGGCTGCTGTCGCGATGTCCCACTGCTAGCAGAGCGCCACCCTTGCTTGAAAGAAACACCCAAGAGCCACCAAAAGAGTCCAGGAGCAACAATGTTTATATAAACAATAAAATGATATCCCGATCTCGGCAGCAGAGACGGCACGAAGCTATATATAATGCAGAGACATCTGTGGCTAGAGGCCAAAGCGGGCTGGGGTATGGCGAGGGGTGGCAACCTGGCCTTGCTCCTTGCGCCCCGGTGTATAAATCTTTGTGGACCTGCAGAAAGGGGCACAAAGGACAGGCTGAAGAGCACAGACGACTCCAGGCTCGGGACTTCTCCCCTGCGAGAGGAGCCCCCAGGGCCATACCTGACGCTGCCCATCGGGTTGCAACGCTCCTGTTCTTCTCTGCGAGCGCGGAGCTGCTCTTCCGCCAGAGCCATCTCTTCCTCCATGGCAGAGGCCTCCTCCTTGGCTCGCCGCCGGCTCTCCTGGAACAGAACAAGCAGCCATGCGAGATTCCATCCGTCGTCTTCCATCCCGCTTTAACTATGAAACGAGGCCCAACCCAAACACTGCTACGCTGACTTCACGTCTGTATCTCGGTTGATGAGCAGCGGCGCCTCTGTTTTTTTTTAAGTATTTCCAGCTTGCCGGGCATCAGTGCCAGCTGGAATTCTTTGGGAGCAACTGGACGGTTCCCCCGCGGCTCCTCCTCACCTGACGAGACTTGCCAGCATGCTTGATACTGTAGAACATGGGCCCCAATTCAGCCAGCCATTCCCCATCCACAGCTGTGACACACTGCATGTACTCCTGCAGGGGAAAGGCAGAGGTGAGGGAGCCGGCAACGGAGCCAAATGGATCCGGCCACCCAGCATTTCCAGCTGCAGCCCCCTTTCTCCAACGCATCCCCTCACCTTGGTGGTCATCACCAGTTCATGGTAGACGATGTAGTCGGGAGTGTAGCCCATCCCAAAAAGCGAGCTGGTAGGGTGCAAGTGGCAGCGCATCCCTGTGCGGATGTTGACGTATTCCCCGATGCCCTGCAGCAGAGCAGGAAGGTCAGTGTTGCCTGGCCCCACTTCCCCCTTGGGCCTTTGACCGAACAACAGCCAGAAGACCCCGGAGGGAAGGGGGCCTTGGGTCATTAGCCCTCCATGTTGAGACAGGGCCCTGGGATTTTGGATATGGCATTGCAGAGCATTCCTTCATGGACTGCTGGGTCCGGATTAGCCGAGGGAACGCCTGGCAGAGACGGACCTACATTTGAAGGGTCCCAGGAGTTAGGCCTCCTTTATGCAGCATTCCCCCCACCCCCACCCCTCAAGTTAGTTCTATCCCTGTTGATATTCAGGGGTGCCTTCAAAACCTGGTTGTGTCATCAGGCTTGGAGACCCTTTTAAGGTGGCTCCCCTATTGTGGTTCCAGTGTGTGTGTGTGGTTCAATCTTTAATGATGTTTTTATTTTTATAATTTGTTAACAATTGTTTTTACGCTGTGTTTTATTATTTCCTGCTGCTAAGAGTCACTTCCAATGTATATAACTTTGATTAATAAATAAATAAAATGGAGCTTCCTTCGTGCTGGGTAGAATCCAGACCTGGCCTCCTGAGGCTCACAAAGAAGTGAATCTGTCTGAGGATGATGGGGAGGGAAATGAGCTCAGCAAGTTGCAAGGCGGCCTTGTGGCCCCCCCCCCATCCAAATAGGCCACAGAGGGAGGAGCA